ACACACACACACACACACACACACACACACACACACACACACACACACAGACACACACGGAGGAAAAAGATGTGTTCAGCAGTTAGTCTGGTTATCTTTGTTACATTCGTTGAAACGTGAGCCAGGATCTATTCCTGCAGCTCTGCAGGGACCTTCTGAGTCTTTCTTCAGTTATTCTAAAGCATCAAACTGTTTACCTGCGGAAGCTGGACTTTACATTCTGATCTACTTCAGAGTTAAAACACACGTTTATGGAAGTCGCTAACGATGAAACTGCAGATTGATCAGATTTGGGTAACAAAGGCTTTACACTCTTTGGCGTCTGAAATGATCCAATTCTGTTCTAAAAAAAAGGTGGGGGTGCAGGTGGGATTAAATTTTCCTTAAAGGCATTTAAACTGTATATTTTTGCAATACTCAACATTTATGAAAATGACATTTTTGGATATTGATCAAATACATCCTGACCCTGTGAGGTTACAAACAACGTTACGCACTACTGAACACAATACACATTACTCAAAACTACTAAATGTTTGGCAAATACTTTGGTAGCAATACATAGTACTGTTCAATACGTACCAGTACATCTGCTGTACATACCTTGTGCATACTATGGAAATACCAGGTACWTGTCCTCAACACATGGTAYAAACTAGGTAAATATAAGCATTTACTAGATAAGTGCCASGTCATACCAAATGAATACCAGTCACATGGTAAGTACTAGGCAAATACCAGGCACGTACCTGGTACCATACCAGGCACACACCTAGTAAGTACTAGGGACACACTAAGCACAAACTTAGTATATACCAGGCATAGACCTAGTACTAGGGACACACTAAGCACAAACAGTATATACCAGGCATACACCTGGTAAGTACTAGGCATACACCTGGTACCATATCAGGAACACACCTGGTGAGTACTTGGGACACACCTTGTAAGTGCTTGTCTCACAGTACCTACCAGGACTGCACCTGGTATGTGCTATGCATATACTTTGCACTTACACACACCTGGTAAGTGTTAGGCACATACTAAGTACATACCAGGCACCATGCACGTACTAGGTACACACCTGGTAAGTA